TTTTTAAATATAAATTTAAAGATATTTTAGTTTTTGAAAATTTGTGGTTTCGCAATTTCGGAATTATGGGTTTACGGGAATTGGGGACTTAGAGATTTTAGGATATTGATATTTTGAGAATTRGGGATTAATKTATGRAATTTCBGGTTTCATAAATTGGGGTTTCTCTAAATAGGTATTTAGGGATATTTGGATTTCAGATATTAAGATATAGAGATTTCGGTATTTACAGATTTAGGAATTTTTCTGGAATTTCAGATTTGGTAATTTAAAGTTTTTGATATTTAGGATATTTCGGAAAGTTGGTATTTTGTAATTTAAACATATTAAAGAATTTGTAAAATTCCAACAATTTAGAATTGTATAATTTATTTATATATTAAATCTTTATAATTCTCTAAAAATATGAAATACATATTAAAATGTTAAAAAATTTTATAAACCCGAAAATTATCTAAATCACTAAATTTACAAAATTCATAATTTTTTTTACTCTCTAATATCAATAATTTAAAAAATTAACAAAACGCGTAAATTTCTTACTCTCTCACAAAATTAAAAATTCTTAACTTCCAAAATTTCTAAATTCTTAAATCGCTACATACGTAAATCCCTAAATTTCAAACATCCAAAACCCGTACATTTATACAATTCTATTATCCTAAATCATTACATCCCCTAATTGGTAATCATACTAAATCTAACAATTGCCGTTACAAATGCATCTCATAATTCATAATTTAAAAAAAACTTATGAAAACTTACATTGAATCGTTGATTTGTTGAAAGAGATTGAGATTGGTGGTATTTCTGGCGGTAATCAGCGCTTTTCGTCGTGAATCATCGAGTTTTCCGGCGAAAATCAAGTTTTTCCGTCGACTGCGATCTGTCTCCGCGAAGAAGAAGAGACTGGTTTTATTACAGGTTTCCGACGGAATTCCGACGGATTTCCGACAGATTTTCCCGCTTTTTCGATGAGATCGAGGTTTCTAGGCGGCAGAAATTAGGGTTTCCGTCGGAAATTGGGCTAAAAACCGATGGATTTTCGACGGATCTATAATTTTTCTAATGCAAACGCGGAAACTTTTTGACCACGATTTTTAATAATTAAAAAATCAAGATCCGTCGGAAATCCGTCGAAATTATCCGACGGATTTTCGACGGATCTTCAATTTTATTAATGAAAACGCGTAGATTTTAATAAAAGATTTTTTAATAATTAAAAAATCTAAATCCGTCGGAAATCCGTCGGATTTATACGACGGATTTCCGACGGAATTTTTTTTTTTAATAATTATGCGTCAAATTAATAATATATTTTAAAATTATTAAAAATTAAAACATCCGTCAGAAATCCGTCGGATTTAACTTTTTTTTTAATTGAAAATTCTTTATTAAATTTAATACAGGTTTCTGAAACGAAATTAATTAAATGATACTAACATATAAAGATTGATCTCATTTCCAAAATAAAATTTTTTAACATTACATATTGCAACATATTAAACATACAACGGTTATGGTACAAGGTCATATATAATACACTTCTAAATTTAAAAACATAAGTTTCTGTATCCACTCCAAACTTACCATTTGTTAGAACCAGAAACTTTTTTTTCCCTTTTTTTTCTTTGGCGGAGAATCTAAATATCCGTCGCAAAATTCCCTTTCGATTGCATCAACATCTAGATTTAAGTTGGGGCTTTCTGGTCTTTGGGCAAATTCAGAATCATAGTAGTGATCCTTTTTGTTCTTCTGTGGAGAATATAAATATCCGTCGCAAACATCGCTTTTGATTGCATCAACATCTATATTTAAGTTGGGATTTTCTGGTCTTTGGGCAAATTCATAATCATAGTAGTGATCTTTACATTCATTTGAAGTACTTCCACCGTAAGTATCTGACGTTTCCATGGTGTACCTTTGTACGTCTTCGAGAACACTCTTCTGCTCTGGATATTTGTCGCACTGAGATTGCGTTTCC